AAAAAAAAAAAAAAAATTGACATTTCAAGTGGTGGCAAGGATGTAGATCAACAGGAAATCTCCTTTGTTGCTGGTGGGAGAGTAAAATGGTACCACCACTTTGGAAAGAACTTTGCAGTTTCGTACAAAGTTCAACACAGACTTACCACATGACCCGGCAATTGTGCTCCTAGGTATTTATCCAAGAGAAATGAAAACCTACATGTTAGAGACTGAAGGTTTGTGTCTTGCCCAAATCTATGCTGAACTCCTAAGCCCCAAATAATGGTACTTGGAGGTGGCGGCCTTTGGGGGTGATTAGATCTGAGGGTAGAGCCCACATGAAAAGGATTAATGCCTTTATAAAAGAGACCCCTGAGAGCTCTCTCACCCTTTCTACTACGTAAGGACAGTGAGAAGACAACCAATTTGTGAACAAGGAGGCAGGTTCTCACTAGACACCAAACCTGCCGGTGCCTTGACTGTGTGCTTCCCAGTATCCAGAACTGTGAGAAAGAAGTGTTTGTTATTTAAGCCATTCAGTCTATGGTAGTTTGTTATTGCAGCCTGAGGATAAAGAGAAGTTGAATTTTATTTGAGATCTGTTCTCCTGGAGAAATTCCCTCACCCCTCTGTTCCAAGAAATGGCTAACCACACAAAGGACCACGTTGCTCTCACATATTCCAAGATAAGACCCAGGAAGACAGGGGCTCCACTCCTCCTCAGTTACTCGATCCTTCCTCCTGTCTCCCGTAAGACTCATGGATGACTCCCTTCTTTATCTGACTCTATAAAATTCCAGGCCCCCTTTATTTTCTTTGAGATATTACACATTGATGAATACAAAGAGGGCTGCGGATTAATGAAACTAGAAATACGGTGGCAACCATCATGAACATCCCGTCTCATATTGGATTAGACAGCACATCTGGACCTTCCACACACATTCTTAGGCTATAGACTTCTTCCAGGATGCTGAAAGGTGTGTTCCTCTCACCCAACCTAGGGTGTGGGAGGTGTTAAGTAGAGGTAAAGGGCATCTCTTCCTTAATTTTTCTGAAATTTCCTTTCACTAATGGCTGTTCATTAATAGGACTTAATTTACTAGACTAGCTCTGGCAATAAGGGCTGTGTGGATTCCCAAGTGGCACCCGGCTGAGTAGGCCGTGCCTACTCTCAAAGCAGACAGAGACTAGCAGAGGATTTTGTTTTTCAAGTTGTGTTTATTAACTTGCTGAGAAAGAAACACACATTGAATACCTCACCAAGCAGGAGCTGGGAAGGTTAAAGGTCTGTAAGAACTAGAATGGGAGTGTGTTAATTTCCTATGGCTGCTGTAGCAAGTTAACACAAGCTTTGTGCCTTAAAAATACACACATATACTCTCTTACAGTTCTGGAAGCCTTAAGTCCAAAAATCACTTTCACTGGGTTCACAAGGTGTCAGCAGGGCTGGTGTCTTCTGGAGGCTGTGGAGGGAGAACCAGTTTCCCTGCCTCTGCCAGGTTCTAGGAGCGCCCCCATTCCTTGGCTCATGGCATCTCTCCATCTTCAAATGCATTGCTCTAACTTCTGGCTCCATCATCACCTCTCCTCTGACTTTGACCCATTGAGGACCCCTGTGATGACACCGCCCCCACCAGATAACCCAGCATCATCTCCACATCTTAAGATCTTCGTCACTCCTTCAAATTCCCTTTGCATCTACACTAACAATCAAAGGTCCCACGGATTAGGATGTAGACACATTTGGGAGGCCATAATTTAGCCTTCCAACAGGAGTTCCTGATTGTTTGTTAAGGAAGAATTGCAACCCAGCCTGTGGGAGGATGGGGGAGGTCTTGGGTCTGGACATATGGTTAAACCTAGTCATACTGTCCGGGAGTCAGGCAGGGCTTGTAAGGGGTGATGCACCAGGCTCCTCAGTCTCTGAGCCTCACGGTCTTGGCGCTTAGCCCTGCCACAGATGCAGCCCAGCACCCAGTTGTAATAGCTCTGAAGCAAGCGTTTTCCTCCCCCACTGCCCCAACGGGGCTCTTTTCCTAACTTATAAGAAAGAGTGGTGTAAATTGGCAATGGCCCTGCTGGAGTATCAGAAAGGAGTGCAAGGAAGAGAGGGAAAGGGCAGGCAAGTATTTTCTATAATGTGTGTTAGTTTTCTATTGTTTCTGTAACAGATTACCCCAAACTCAGCAGCTTAAAACAACATAAACTTACTATCTCACAGCCTTCACTCAGTGACTCTCAAGGGGGGCCACCCCCAGGGCTCTGCAGACCTGCCAACCAGCCTGGGCAGCTCTCCCCTGGCCAGCACTGTATTTCCTCAGGAGGGATGCTCCCAGATCATCCTAGACCTCTCAACAGCCTCCCACTTCCTATTTTCTCAGCCCTATTCTCTCCTCACCTCCAGGTCCCCAAAAAAGGAAATTATTCTTATGCCTTGGGTCATGGGATACCCTGACTTGAGAGAAACTTCTTCCTGGATGCCTTTCATCCATACTTAAAGCTGCCCTGTGACGCTGAACTAGCCCCTTTTCATTAAAAAAAAAAAAAAAACAGTCCAAAGAAACCCAAAATTTGCCTTTTGGCTTTCTCTTTTTATTCCTTATCAAAATATTATAGCAACAATGTATATTTTACAATATAGAAAAAAAATCAGACATGAATGGAGGCCCCTAAGAAAGCCATGTTTATTTCTCTATGACAAATTTCCAGTCTACATCCGTATGTGCACATATCTTTACATGGCTGTAGTAACAGCAAGCCTTCTATTTTATGCTTTTTTTATTGTTGTTGTTGCCTTCCATATTATAAGCATTTTCAACATGGTAACAAAACCTTTATAATCATGGTTCGGCATGACTGCATGGAACAAATTAGTAGTGTACTAGATGAACAATGGGGAGTAATAACAGAAATGAAAGAACTCGTTCTATTTTTATTTCCACAACTAAAGCAACGCATCACATTTCTCAGCAGCAACCCTTTCCATCTTAGTACAAGCCTGCTCCAGTATTAAAAGGGAGAATTTCATTGTTCATTCACAAGCAACGTCCTCACCTACTTGCCCCTTTTGAAATAAATCCTGAACATCTGACAAGGCTGTAACATAGAAATACATACAAACAGCAAAATCTAACTGCGATTCTGTGGTTGCTGTGGGGTGGAGTGTTGCATGGGGTCTATCACCAGGATGTCTTTGTTGATACAGAGTAGACGGTAAGAGCTCCTGCCACTAATTACACTTGATCCTAATAAAAGTTTGCTTATGTACGAGGCAGATGTTCCTCATTAAAGTATTCCACATACCGATTACACACGGAACACATCCATAGGTTCTTTCTTAAGCACTCTGATGCATCTTCAGAGTACCTTCTTGACATCCACAGATTTTATTCCAGTGTGTGTGCTATTATGTTTGGTACTAGCTGCATCATTCCTGAAGCCTCTTCTACATTTACTACTACCCTGTGTTTTCTCCAGGAGTTCCTCAATGTATAGATTTAATAGTATGGCTAAGGAATGCCTCACATTCATCAGTTCACTGAATAGCTTAAAACATTATTGTCTGACAGGGAAAAGTCACCTCTGAAGACATTCCTCCTTCACACAGCTTCTTGAGAGCCAGTCAGTAGATGAATGTGGCCCACAATCATTATGTTTCCATGGGCTGCTCTCCAGAGTGTTTTCTTTGATGTCGGATGAGGGACGAGCTCCTTCTGAACGTTTTCCCACACTGAGGACACTGGCTGGGACCCTCCCTGCTGTGGAGTCTCTGATGTACCGCCAAGTGAGAGTTCTGCTTGAAGGACTTTCCACATTCAGGACACTGGTATGGGGTCTCCTTTGTGTGAATTCTCTGGTGCTTGGTCAGACAGGAACTGTCTCTGAAAGCTTTACCACACTGATTACACTCGTAGGGCTTCTCACCAGTATGAGTCCTCTGGTGCCGGATGAGGCCAGCAATGTTCCTGAAAAGTTTCTGACACTGGTTACAGCCATAGGGCTTCTCACCAGTATGAATCCTCTGGTGCCTGATGAGGTAAGCACTCTCAATGAAAGTTTTCCCACACTCTTTACATTCATAAGGTTTCTCCCCAGAGTGAATTTTTTGATGCACAATGAGGTGAGAGTTTCGGTTGAAGGACTTCCCGCACTCCACACATTCAAAGGGCTTCTCTCCAGTGTGAGTCCTCTCATGCTGGGTAAGGTATGAGCCATCCCGGAAAGCCTTTCCGCATTTGCTACATTCATAGGGCTTCTCCCCAGTGTGGATTCTGAGATGCACGGTGAGGTGGGAGATGTCGGTGAAAGGTTTCCCACACTCATTACATCTATATGGTTTTTCCCCTGTATGAGTTCTTTGATGCAAAATCAGTGATGAATTTCGGTTGAAGGTTTTCCCACATTCTAGACATTCATAAGGTTTTTCCCCAGTGTGAATTCTCTGGTGTTGTGTGAGAGCTGACCCATCACTGAAGGCTTTCCCACATTTATTGCATTTATAGGGCTTCTCTCCTGTATGGATTCTTTGATGCACAATCAGGTTGTAGTTTTTGGAGAATGATTTTCCACATTCAGTACAGGTATAAGGTTTCTCTCCAGTGTGAGTTCGGTGATGCAAAACAAGAGAAGAGTTCCGTTTGAAGCATTTGCCACATTCACTGCATTTATACAGTTTCTCTCCAAGGTGACTCCTCCTGTTTTCATTAAGAGATGAACTCAGGGTAAAGATGTCCCCCAAATCCTTACCTTCATACAGTTTCTTCCCCTTTTTCAGTACTTTTGGTTCACCAAGAGGAGTAAAATGATTGAAAGATTTAACACTTTCAGGGTATTTATAGGATTTCTCTCTTGTTTGATCTCTTCCAAGTTGAAAAACCTCGCCAGAATGGTCGAAGGCTCTTCCACAAGCATCACTGTCACTAGTTCTCTTAGCTACATAATTTTTTGCACAACTGTGTAAAGCTGGGTCGCAATCCAAACTTTTAACATCTGAGTCACGTATATGAAAACCATTTGTAGGAACTCTCTTAGATGGCAGAAGGTCTGAACTTGCACCCAAACGCTCCCCAAGTCCAGAATATTCACAAATTATTTCCTGAGTCCCTGGTTTCTCCTGAGTTAAAGCTGACTGCCTCAAATGTCCCTCCCGGTTCTTACAGTCCCGATTATTACCTAGAATGGAAAGATGGGAACCCTCTCTTGCAAATCCTTCCATTTCCACGTCACAGGATAGTTCTTCCTCAGGAATATTCTGAGGTGTCATTTTCAATCTCATTTCCCAGGCTGAAAAGTAAAGAATGAAAAAGACTTAAGTACATAAAGTTATATCTGAAAGGGAATAAAAAATGATGACAGGCCAGGTATGTGAATCCATATTTTTATTTTGTTATTAATTTTGCCCGGCTTATTTTTTTATTGAAATAAAGATGACACACTATGTTACATTGGTTTCAGATGTACAACACAGTGACTTGACAAGTCTACAGGTTATGCTATGCTCAGTACAAGTGGCTACCATCTGTTACCATATAACACCATTACAATACCATTGACTATATTCCGTATACTGTACCTCTAATCCCATGACTTGTTCACTCCGTGACTAAAAGTCTATACCTCACACTCCCCTTCACCATTTTGCCCATCCCCACATCCCTCCCTTCTGGCAACCATCAGTTGATCAGTCTGATCTCAGTTTGATTCTACTTTTTATATGTTTGTTCATTTGGGTTTTTTTGATTCCCCATATAAATGAAATCATATGGTATGTCTTTCTCTGCTTGACTTATTTCACTTAGCATAATAGCCTCTAGATCCATCCGTGTTGTTGCAAATGGCAAAATCTCACTTTTTTATGACTGAGTAATATTCATAAGTGTGAGTAATATGTACATAGCACAATCTTTATCCATTCATCTATTGATAGACACTTGGGTTGCTTCCATATTTTGGCTATTGTAAATAATGCTGCAATAAACAGGGGGCATATATCTTTTTGAATTAGTGTTTTATTTTCTTTTTGGGGGTAAATACCCAGGAGTGGAATTACTAGATAATATGGTATTTTTATTTTTAATTTTTTCGAGGAAGCTCCCCACTGTTTTCCACAGTGGTTGCACCAATTTACATTCTGTGCTGTGTATTTTTACTTTTTCAAATTAATATCTGTATAAGGGGAAGGTAAAGTGAGACTTTAGGGATGGAGGCAAGAACAGGTTAAAAGAGCCATACAGCATTTCATCTTCCTAGAGAAGAAGCAGGAAGAAGGGTAATGGAGATAAATATTACCAAAAGAATGAAAGTGAGATGTGGGAGACGAGAGGCCAGGTGTCACTGCTCACTGGACACCACCTTGGCTACTGTGTGCTTATTCCACCACCCACTACCCATATCAACAATCAGGACACATTTTCAAAGCCCCAACTTCACAATGTGCTTATGACAGTGCTGAATGAGCAGTTTTCATCCCGGCTTTGTGGTCGAGTTCTGCTTTCACTCCATGACCTGGAAGTTCTGAAAGTCCTGGAGCTGTGAATGACCACCCCTCACTGTTATTGTGAGAGCTAGGTCATGTCTGAGTCTAGCTCTGACATGGGAAATGGATGCCATTCTGTAAGTGGCTACCAGTGTCTCCACCATTACTGATTGTCCTCTAACCACCCTCCCAACCCTTTGCATGATATCCAGACAAATGACTCCTCATTTTTTGTAAGCAAAATGAAGTAAGATCCTTACCTCAGAAAAAAATATTTAAAAAAAAAAAATTTTTTTTTTCAACATTTATTTATTTT